TTGCTTTGACTAGGTGTTCTCTGAGCTCAGAAAAGCACCAGACAAGCACTCATGTTGTGATCATGAAGTCCTGCTATGAATCAAACTTGTCACATTGTTGCTGTTCCCCCTCCCAGATCTGAGCTCAAATTCAAGTTTAGACACTTGCTAGCTGTGTGACCCTGGGCAAGTCACTTCACCCTACTTTCCACATCTATAAAAGAGGGTCTATAACAGCACCTGCTTCCCAGATTGTTGTGAGGACCAGATGAGACAGTCCTTGTAAAGTACTCAGCCCTGCCTGGAACACAGGAAGCTCCCCCTAAACGTTAGCTCTTAGTTTTACTGAGCCCATCCACCAGACGACGGGCATTCCCCAGGCACAGCTACACGCTCTCCACGTCTCCTGGTTTCCCTCGGGTCGGTCTCCTTGACGGAGGAACCAGACACAAAGAAGCACGGCTTCCCCCTGGCCGGCACCCCCTTGACCTCTCCTGCTGCCCCGGGCCCACTCATGTCCTGCTCCTCCTGGAAGCCCCAGGGGGCTGAGCGAGCGCTCCTGGCAGCCAGCCCCAGCCCCTGGTTTCCCTCCTCAGAGCCGTGGCTTCCCTGCGTGTTTGTGTCACTTCCTGCGGGAAGAGGACGGCGCACAAGAAGCATTTCATTAGAGCCGCGGCCCGTGGTGACTGGCTGCTGGACTAGGAGAGACTGCGGGCTGGACTAGCCTCGTAGGAGCCACAGGACCCCTCGAGGTCTGGGACCCCACGCCTGGTGACTCTCCGTGGGCTCTGGGGCTGTGAAGACCAAGCAGGAGGTAAGGGGAGGAGCGGAGGGGGCGGGGCTATTGGCAGAAAGGGCGGGGAGGGGCGGGGCAGGCAGGGAGGCCCGACCGTATTCCGGGCCGGGGGGAGGGGCCGAGAACCAGGCATGCGCAGAAGGCTCCTCAGCCTCCAGACTACCATTCCCAGAAGGCCGTGCTCGCCTCCTGAGCATTTTCCAAGCCCAAGGGCGGGAGGACTAGACTTCCTTCTTACCATGACACTTCCGCTTCCTTTTCTCTCTGCCTCTTCCATGCTTGCTGCTTCCCGCTTCCCCTTCTTTGTGCTGAGCTGACGTGTGACGAGGTGAGCGGGGGCCGAGAGCGGGGCCAGGCCCAGGAGGAGCTGGCTGCGGAGTGCGGCGGGGTTGGAGCACCGGGGACTGGCTGGGGAGCACACGGGGAATGGGGGGAGTGTCCGCCAGAGGAGGAAGGAAGCCCGCGAGGGGCTCCCAGGGGTCTGGGAGCGCACGGCCCGTGCGTTGGGGGGGGGTCGAGGGTTGGAGGCCGACCAGGCGGATTCTAATCCTCCTTCAGTCACGCCCGCATCCCCTGCCCCCTCCCTGATCTTCCCGCAGTGGAGAAGTGGGAATGTCTGGTTTGAGCAGGGCAGACCCCCAGCGTGACCCTCATTCTCCTGCTTCTCCTTTCCTCCCCAGCTCTACCTTCGGTGGCCTCTGTTCTGCCCCAGGAGGACAGCCTGGAGGAAGAGGGAATGGCTCCTGCCCTGACAGCCAGTCCCGGGAAGGTGAGTGACAATTGCTGCTTTCCTGCACTAGGATCTCAGGCCAGAGACACTGAGATTGGTTTCTTTGTCCTGTGCTGTAACACTGGGAATTGTGGGAATCAGAGAATCATATAACCACAGACACCAATTTATCCTCTCCACACACACACACCAAAGCACTTACATTTACTTTGTGGGTTTTTTTTTAACTTTTCAGTTGTAAACCCTTTCACACCTTCTTATCCTTCCCCCACCCATTGAGAAGGGAAACAATGGGATAGACATTATGCCTGTAAAGTAATGCAGAACAGTTCCATATTAACCCTGGTTGAAAAAAAAAATGCATGAAAAATGAAAGTGAAAAAGAATGTGCTTTAATCCTCATTCGAAGTTATCAATTCTCTCCGTTTTTTATAATGCGTCCTTTAAGCTTTTCATGGATATTGTATTCATCAGAGTGGCTGAGTCTTTCAAAGTTAATCATTATTGCAACCACTGTCCTCAGTCTTCCTAGTTCTTGTCACTTTTCACATTTATTGATGTTATTTATAACTTATGGGATAAATCAAGCATTTTCATAACATAATAGAATAAAAAAGAATTACATATGAATTTGCTAATCTGTTATGTTCTACTTGTTATTCCTTTTAAATGTATAACAAAGTTACCATGTAAATTTCTTATTTTTTCTTTTCTTTTTTTCTCCCTCCCCCCCACCATGGCTACTATTAGACACAATTAGGAGTGTATGTGTGTTTGTGTTTGTGTGTATGCATGTATGTATATATGTGTATGTAAAATTATTCTAGACATCCTTTTATTTCTTTCTCTGGATGCAGATAATGTCTTCATATGTCCTTCATAGTTAATTTGGGTATTTATAGTAATCCAAATAACTTATTCGTTCAAATTCGTTCTTCAAACAATATTGCTATTAGTCTTTACAATGTTCACTTGGTTCTGTGTAAGTCTTTCTAACATCATTGAGCTCATCATTTCTTATATTATAGTAATATTCCATCGTGATCATATACCACGACTTGTTCAGCCGTTCCCCAATTGATGGGCATCCCTGTAATTTCCAGTTCTTTGCCACCAGAAAGAGAGCTGCTAGAAACATTTGAGAACATATAGGTTCTTTTTTTTTTTTTTCCTAATCATCTTTGAAAATGGATCTAGTATTGGTATTGCTGGATCAATGAGTATAGATAGTTTAATAGCTTTTTGGGCAAAATTGCAAGTTGCTGTCCAAAATGGGTGGATCAGTTGACAATTCCATCAAGAATGAATTAGTGTCCCAGTTATTCCACATCCCCTCCTAAAATTTGTTGCTTTCCCCATCTATCTTTTCAGTCAATCTGATAGGTATAAAATGATATCTCGAGGTTGTTTTAATTTTCATTCTCTAATCAGTTATGATTTAGGGCATTTTTTCCTGACTATAAATTGTTTTGATGTCTTTGTTAGAAAACTGCCTGTTCATATCTTTTGGCCATTTATCAATTAAGGAATGATTTGTATTCTTACAGATTTCACAAAGTTCTTTATATATTTTAGATATAAAATCTTTATCTAAGAACCATCTAGAAAATATTTTCTCCAATTTTTTGCTTTCCCTCTGATTTTGGCAACATAGGCTTCATTTATACAAAACCTTCTAAATTTAATTTAATTTAACCTGGAGCCAGGATGGCAGTGTAAAAAAAGGCAGGGACTCCTCTGAGGCCTCCCCCAAACCCCTCCGAATACCTTTAATAATTATTCTAAACAAATTCTAGAGCAGTGGAACCCACAAAAAGTCAGAGTGAAACAATTTTCCAGCCCAAGACAACTTGGAAGGTCAGCAGGAAAGGTCTATTGCACCTTGGTGGGAGTGGAGCACAGGTTGAGTGAGTACAGCCCCATTCTGACCATAGAAAATTGCTATGGTGACAAGGAAGATAAAAACACACACTCAGAAGAAAAAGTCAAAGCTCCTACATCCAAAGCCTACAAGAACAATATTCATTGGTGTCAGGCAATCAAAGAGCTTAAAAAGGATTTTGAAAATCAAGTAAGTAGAGGAGAAATGAGAGTGATGCAAGAAAGTCATGAAAAATGAGTCAACAGCTTGGTAAATGAGACCCCCAAAAAATGTTGAAGAAAATAACTCCATAAAAAACAGAGTAGGCCAAATGGAAAAAAATGGAAAAATTCACAGGGAAAAAAATGGTCTCCAGATTTCCTCCACAAACAGATGGAAAATTTCCATTAAATGAATGGAGAGCAGCAGAAATAAAGGGGTAAAGTAGTTGTCCTCCTAAGAAAACTTGAGATGACCTCAGAAAAGAGAGGACCTCCAAGGGCTCAGTCTTGGGGTAAGTGAAGCATAGTCACCTCCAAGCCAATTCCACTGAATCAACAAATAACAGGCCCTCGATCAGCTCTGTCAGGAAGCAGGCTAGGCCTCAAGAAATTTTACCTCACAGACTTTCACCTCAAACTTTTGTCTAAAGGCCAGTAGATGGCTGAGTGTAGGAAGACTGAAGAACCCTCTAGCCCCCTCCCTCTGTTTTCTGAAGCTCGATCTAGCAGAACTGACCAAAAGTTAGCTGGGGTTGTAGCTGTTGGTGAGAAGTGAGCACATAGCTGGTGAGTGCAGTGCCACAGGGAGGAAGAACATTTTGGGGGGCAGAATGGCTAGAGGCCTGAATTGTGGTTTGAGGGAGGAGAGGAGTCTCTACGTTGAGCCCTTTGACAGAATTCCAAAAATAACAGTAAGCAGGACTTGAGGCTTAGGGCAACATTACCCAGAACTCGGGATTAAAACTTGGTTAGAATAATAAACTGCTGAAAATAAAAATAAGCAAGTAAAGGAAAAAGAACTCAATCATAGATCCTTTGGTGATCAACAATATCTGGGTTCATATTCAGAGGAAAATAGAGGTAAAAAAAGGCCACCCCTGCCCCATAAAGTAATGTCAAATGGTCACTCGCCCAAAAAGAACTCTTGAATGAACTTAAAATGGAACTCAAAAATCAAATGAGAGAGATGGAGGAAAAATTAGGGAAAAAAATAAAATCAATTGAAAAAACTATGAAAAGAAAGTTAGCCAATTGGAGAAAGAGGTATAAACTCTTTTGAAAGTTACATTTTATTTTTCCACTTAATAGTATTTTATTTTTTCTAATTACATGTAAAGATAGTTTTCAACATTCACTTTTGATTTTTGAGTTTCAAATTTTTTTTCCCCTCCCAGCCTTTCCTTCCCTCTCTCCTAGATGCCAAGCAGTCAGATATAGGTTATCCATATACATTCAGATTAAACATAATTGCACATTAGTCATGTGGTGAAAGAAGAATCAGAACAGATGGAAATAGCCATGAGAAAGAACAAAATAAAAAAACAAAAAAAGTGGAAATAGTATGCTTTCTCTGAATTCAGTCTCCGCAGTTCTTCGTTTGGATGTAGTAGATAGCATTTGCTATCATGAGTCTTTTGGAATTGTCTTACGTCATTGTATTGCTGAGAAGGGCCAAGTCTGTCAAAGTTGATCATTACACAGTTTTGCTGTTACTATGTAAATGTTCTCCTGGTTCTGCTCACTTCAGTCAGCATCAGTTCATGTAAGTCTTCCCCTGTTTTTCTGAAATCTGCCTGGTCATTATTTCTTATAGCTCAGTTGTATTCTATTCCATTCATGTACCACAATGTGTTCAGCCATTCCCTAATTGATAGGCATCCTTTCAATTTCCAACTCTTTGCCACCAGAAAAAGAGCTGCTGTAAATATTTTTGCACATGTGGGTCCCTTTCCCTTATGTTCTCTTTGGGATGCAGACCTAGTAATGGTATTGGTGGATCAAAAGATGTGCAGTTTAGGAGCAGCTAGGTGGCACAGTGGATAGAGCACCAGCCCTGGATTCAGGAGGACCTGAGTTCAAAGCCAGCCTCAGACACATAACACTTAATAGCTGTATGACCCTGGGCAAGTCACTTAACCACATTGCCTAGCCAAAAAAAAACAAAAACAAAAACAAAAAAAACCAAAAGATGTGCAGTTTTATAGCCCTTTGGGCATTGTTCCAAATTGCTCTCCAGAATGGTTGGATCAGTTCACAACTCCATCAATTCTTGTTGGGCTTTTGTCTAAACTGCATGTTTATTTGAGGCTTGGTTATAGATTTTTTTTGTTGTTTTCTTCTAATAAATTTAACATGTGACTTTCAAAACTGTCCTGTTTTTCTTTTTCAGCTTCCTTCTGTTCTCTTCTGTGCATCTTTTTCTTTTTTTCTGACAATACTATCTCTAGCTCTCTTCCTTTTAAATCCTACCCTCTCCTCGCTCCTCCAGTAGAGAAAAAAACCACAGTGCACTTATAGCCAGTAAGCATAGTCATGTAAAATAAATAAACAAGTTTGTCACCACTTTTCTGTCAGAATTTAGTAGCATGTTTCATTATCAGTTCTCTGGAGTCATGACTGATCATTGAATGGTATTGCCATTTGTAAATTGTTTTCTTAGTTCTGTTGTTTTCTCCCTTCATTGCTTCATACAAGTCTTCCTATTTTCTTTAAAAGTATCATTTTCATGATTTCTTATGGCACAATAATATTCCACTTCGTGAAATGATGAGGTATTTTCCAGTTGATGTGTATCCCTTTGTTCCTAATACTTTACTATAACAGAAAGGACTGTTAGAAATATTTTTGTCCTTATGAGTAGTCCTTTTCCACTTTGTGTTTTTGATGTCTTTGGGAGTATAGACCTACTATTGCTTTGGCTAGGTCAAAGAAAACACACTGTTGAGTGGTTTTCTGCCCTCATTCTGAATTGCTTCCTGTAGTGGCTCTGCAAATTGACAGCTCTACCAGCACAAGTGACTTATGTACTTAACAATAAAAGAGAAAAACAACCATGTCAATTAATTGGACATGAAATTCAGTAAGTCAATAGTGAGCAAACATTTATGAAGCTCTTATATGCCATGGCATATAATATAATGATATATATAATACAGAATAATATAATATAATAATAACAGGGCAACAAGGCCAACTACTACACTGATAGTAAATTCTTCAACTTGAAAAGGGCTACATGCCAAGACCAAAGTGGAGGGAATGTTGGTGTGTGCCCTCAATGAAGCCTCTGAAGATGAGATTTAACAAAGTATGGATCGATTCTCTGCTGCTTGTGTTAATTTTAGCCTAACAGTTAACACCAAGAAACAGTGTTCCATCAGCCCGCAGCACATCATCCATATGTGGAACCATCAGTTACAGCAAATGGAGAAGTTTTGAATGCTGTGGATAAGTTCACTTCCTTTGGCAGTATACTTTCTAGGGATGTACACATTGATAAAGAGATTGATGCTAGCATTGCCAGAGGTAGCTCAGTGTGTGGAGGCGCCAAACTAAAGTATAGGAGAGAAGAGGTTTTAGACTGATTACCAAAGTGAAGGTCTACAAGAGTTGTGGTGAGGGCCTCATTGTGGTATGACTGTGAAACCTATACTAACACCTCGCCAGGAAATTGAATCATTTCCATTTGGATGTGATTAGGAAGATTCTGAAGATGACCTGGCAGGATAAGATAAGACACATTGAGATCCTTACTCAACTCAACTGCTAAGCATTCAAGTTCTACTGAAGAGAGGGCAACTACAGTGGACTGGCCATGTCATTCAAATGCCACATGTATGCTTGCCAAAGCCTCTTTTGTGGAGAACTCACACAGGACAAATGCTCACTTGCTGAGCAGAAGAAGGGATGCTAGGACACTCTCAGGGTCTCTCTTAAGAACTTTGGAATGGGATATGTAACCTGGGAGACACTGGTACAGGAATGCCCATCATGGCATGCCCTCATCAGAGAAGGTGCTGTGCTCTGTGAGCAAAGCAGAATGGAAGTAGCTCAAAAGAAATTTGAGATGATCAAATTTAGAGAATTCACCCCAAATGTTCACATGGACTATTTTTTTGTCAGTTACACGTAGTTCAGCATCTTTTTCTTATTATTTATATTTTTGTAGTTTTTGTGTATTATATTTTGTTGCATCTGCTTATTTTGCACTGTCAGTTAATGCCTATCTTCAAATGCTTCTCAGAATTGCTCATATTTGTCATTTTTAACTATATAAATGACTGTTATTCATATGCTATTTTTTTCTAGCTATTCTTTACTGGTGAGAATTCAGTTTGTTTCCAGTTCTTTGCTGCCCCAAAGAGTGCTCTTATGAATGTTTTTGTCCAGAAACTCAATTGTGGCCTTGGTCTGGTGATAGAGAAAGGGAATGGCAACATTGTACATTGAGAATAGCCCTGGATTTGAAGCCAGGAGGACCTGCGCTCAAAGTGTAGATCCACCATTTACTCCCCTTGTGACCTTAAGCAAGTCAACTTTCCCTCTGAAGGCCTCACTTCCCTAATTTGTAAAATGAGAAAACTGGATTGTAAAGTTTGTTTCCTCTCTAAATACATGAATTGGAAAGTCATGGTCCTTTAACACCCTTTTCAACAGTAAGAAATTGTTCACGTGCTGTTACAGACAGGAGATTGTAGTCCCCCGTGCTTGCCTTTGCTCTTGTGGTTCCAGGAGTCTGGAACACAATCGTGTTTATTTCAGAGCGCCAATTGGATGGAAAGAGCAAGGGAACTGTCTCACTTGTGAAGAGATCAGGCTGATTGGTCAAAGAAACTGTACTTGTTTAGATTGGAAGTGAAGACTTAGGACCACATGATAGCTATCTTCAGCTATTTCATTTTCATTGTTTATTTCAGCAAGTAGAAAAGAAATTGGCCATATTACTCCTTCAGCTCAGAGGATAGAAGTAGGAGCCACAGGTGTTCTTTGTAAAAAAGAACAAAAATGAAGGACATGTTTAAAATTGATGTCATTGGAACTATTTACAACAATAAGCATTTATTAAATACCTACATAGTGCCAGGCACTGCGCTAAGTGCTGAGGATACCAAGGATGGCAATAATAGCTCCTTCCCTTAAGGAATTTACAAACAAATCAGAGGGGAATCTTTTTTTAAATTTTTATTTGTTCAATTTTTAATTTATGGAATAAAATAAGGATTTCCAATACATAATATAAAAAAAAAAGGTAATTGTATACGTAACTAAAAATCTTATTTTCTACAACTTGCTATTCCTTTTAAATATATAATAAAGTTTCATTCTCCCTCCCCCCAACTCTAGAGATGGCTATAATTAGATACAAATGTGTGTGTGAGTGTGTGTGTATATGTAAAAATCATTCTATACACACTTCTATTTATTAGTTCTTTCTGGGAGAGGAATTCTTAAGTGTCTGCTATATACTTGTACTGGGATGCAAATAAATAAACAAAACAATTCCTCATGGCAAGTGAAAGATGAAATGGCTGAAGAAACAAAGCTTCAATCTTTTGGGCATATCAGTATATTAAGCAATGTATGGCAATTGCACAGAAAACTAGGACCAGGCCCCTTCCTCATCTTGGAGCTGGACCCTGAATAGGGGAAGACATACTTTTGTAAATTAAAAACAATCAAAGAGGACCAATTAATTAAAAGCAAATACTAAAATGTTAGGTAATCTGATTTCTAATTGGAGGAACGATTGGGGACTTTTCATGTTGGGAGGGGGAAAGGCAACAGGTTCAGTTCCCTAAATTCAGAATGAGGTGTCCTACTCCCCTAAAGTAGTATACAATTGTTCAGTATGGGACCAGTTTTCAGATAAGACATATGGGTTGCTTCAGATGTACAATTGTGAGAAAACTCCTTTTGTCCATCTTTTTGCATCTGACTAGGTTTCTGATCAGCATAATCCAGGTCCTTACTTAAGGACTAAACAGCAGGTAGAGAAGGTCTCATTTCTCAGCCATACAAGGCTAAGTTCAAACAATGCAATAAGGTTTTCTCACAAGGCAGAAATTGGACTAGACCTATAATTGAACAGAGAAAGAACTGAGCTAGCCCCAGAATTGGGTCACAAAGTGGGGTCAATGTGGTTGACTCAGTTGCCTCAACTCCCTGTACCACTTGCTGTCCTAAAACCCTCAATTCCCTCACCTTAATGGCAAGTAGTTTATATTTGAACTTCATAACAGAGCTGTACCTGGATAAGCACAAATATTTTTGATATTTCAGGAATCAGTGACATTCAAGGACGTGGCTGTGGAATTCACCCAGGAAGAATGGGTACAATTGAACCCATCCCAGAAAAAATTGTACAGGGATGTGATGCTGGAGAACTATAGGAACTTGGTCTCTTTGGGTAAGAACAGCTATCCCTTTCCAGTCTTTATACATACTATGAGAGCAAGATTTTAACAGTTATTCTTTGGCATACAAAAGGAAACTCTTCCTAATCCTTTTGTAGACAAGAGACAGATTACTTGTGTTACCTATTTCCAGAAAAAAGGTCCAAGCTTAGTATGCCTGGAAATTGATTTCTTGATTTGTTATTATTGTTGAGAATGTATCTTCCCCTCTCAGTTGCTTCAAATCCAAGATATTCTTTTTAATCCCAGTATAGGCTTCATCATGCAGTGTTCCCACTGCCTAAGCAAGTCAGTGGGTCAAATGAACTATTTTTTCCCCAAGTCCCACTCAGTAATCCAATTTACCATGACATAGAGTATCCTTCCAGTGGTCCTTTGTACTATCCTTGAGGTCTTCCTAGCATGCCTACTTTTTTTCCAAAGAGGGTTTGAACTCGTTTTGAATTCTTTTATTAAGTTTTGTGGATACTTCTTGAACAAAAATTTAATTTCTCCTTCCCCTGCCACCAAAAAAAAAAACCAAAACAATAAAAAGAAGAAAAAACCCTACTTCTCCCTTCAACCAACCCATTGAGCCCCCCATGGTTGAAGAAAAAAAAATCCAGACAAAATCAGCTAACATAGTGCTCTTGGGGGTATGAAATATATCCTGCACCCTTATTTCCCCCACCTTTCTACTAAAGTTGGAGGGAGTATTTCATCTATCTGTTCGATGATCGAACTCAATATGAGATGACTGCCTAGCACTTTTTCATTTTCAATGAACAGGACTTGAAGTTTCCAAACCAAATGTGATTTACCAGTTGGAAAGAAAGGAAGCATCTTGGATGCCAGAGGCGGATATTGCAAGAAGCAGCTGTCCAGGTGACTACATAAAACCAAGCAGATGGGTCATTGCAAACTAGGAATCTGTTGGTCATTTTAGGTCAGAGCTCTTGAAAAACATTGAACAAAGTGATCTATGAAAGCTTCTTGGGCCTGTTGAGAGGAATTGAGACTTTTAACTTCATTTTTTACCTTAAGAAGTTTTTACCTTAAGAAGTACTTTTTTAATGTATCTCTTTACTGAAATGTACCTCCACTCTCAAAGAAAGTTGTTGCCTCAGGACAGGGCAGTTATATCTCTTCTATTCATTGAAGATCATCTTAATTCTCTTGCCTCACTTGCATGAATTCATTCTTTTAAAATAAGCACATTATTTAAGGTATTAAGTAATGTGCTCTTTTTGTTTGTGAATTCTTTTCTGATGTTTTCTTCTGCTTTGTGTTTATGATTATATTGCTTTGCTGCTACTTTTAAAAATAATCCTAACCTAATTCCCCTTTCTTCAGTCTGTCGTGTTATGTGTCATCCTGTTTTTTTCTTAATGCTTTGAAATTATGTTTATAAAGGCATATTACTATGTTCATATGACAGGACGTGTATAGCCATAACCCCATCATTGGACCTATAGATTTCCATTATTTTTCTATTTTTTTTAAGAATACTTTTTTTTTTAGGTAATGGGGTTAAGTGACTTTCCCAGGGTCACACAGCTAGTAAGTGTCACTTGTTTGGTCTGAGGTCAGATTTGAACTCAGGTCCTCCTGACTTCAGGGTAAGTGCTCTATCCACTGCACCACCTGGCTGCCCCTTATTATTTTGCTCTTTCACAAAAAGCTGTTGTGAAAATTTACTGAAAATGCTTTGTTTGCTTTCAGTAACATATTGAGGATGTAGACCTACTCCTGGGCCTTTGGGTGAAAGGGTATGAACAGTTTTGTAGTTCTAGCTGAAATTCCTATCTTTTAAGAAAAATGGCAGCAGCAGCAGCTTAATAAGTAGCTATTTCAACATAATGACCAAAATTTATCATTTTTAAAGTGTCTTGCTAATCTGAAGGCTATTTATTGCTACCTCCAAATGGTTTTCATTTTTGCTTCTTTGCTTACCAGACTTTGAGTAATGTTTCAGGTAATTATTAGTAATTTCTCTTGTCAAAAACTCCATATGTCTTAATCTCACAAATTTCAATCAATTTCTGAAAAAGTAGATGTTAGATTTTTAGAGGACATTTATAGCAACAATTGTCATGTTTTCACTCTCATATTTCTTCTTTATTCTGTTTA